AAAATGTACATTGTTGTACAACTATCTCCACCATCTATCTCCGGAAATTTCCATCTTCCAAAACTAAAACTCAGTACCGATTAAACACCGACTCCCCAATTCCTCCCTCCCGCCAGCCCCTGGCAAATGTCACTATGAATCTGACTACTCTAGATATCTCATATAAGTGGGGTCATACAGTGTCTCTCCTTTTGTGTCTGGCTTATTTCATTTAGCATCGTGTCCTCAGGCTGAGTTTGGGATAGCCGAGCCTGGTTCTCCACAAACATGGTAGTCAACACAACATGTGCCTCAATGTCTCAGTCAGAAGAAACACCCAGGGTTTCTTAGGCATCTTAAGGACAGAACTGAAGCTTTAGAACCCCAGAAGTAGGGCCTAGAAGAAATTATACTCACATTGTATTTTTGTTCATTTTTAGTTGTTTGATCAGGTTTCCAAAATCACTTTGAATCCTGTCCTTAAAGTGAAAGAGGTCATGTTACCTGCCTCTGTGTGTGTCATGGGTCTTATTAATCACAGGATTGGAATAGTGATTTCTCACTCATCCAGCCCACACCTACCTGCCCCTTTCTCAAAGCAAGGAGGGGAAGGTATGTACTTTTCTTCCTGCCTGCCCGGAGAGGATGACCACTTCCTTTGCTTCTGAAGTAGCAACAGGATCCACCGTGTCATCACCAACGCTGGGAGCAGCCCAATCTCAAATTTTCTTACTGTTTCCTGTTTACTTGGGGCAAAGGGTTAAAAAAGGAGAAAAGAGTATTGTATGGGTAAATAGAGCACACGAAACTAGACACACGCCTGACCCCGGTTGAAATTCACTCGTTTTCTGTCTTTGCATGGATTAAGGACTTCTGGACAGACATGCATCTTTGACCCGGCCCCCTAGGCCGGGGGCTATCCCTCCCCCACCTTTGTGGTCAGCCACCCCTGACATGGAATGTCCGCAGGGTCGAACTCACTTTTATAGGCACAGGGCTAGGAGCAGTTGAGCCTATGGTGCCGGTTAAACAGGTTCTTCTTCTACCTCTGCTGGCCTGGCATGCGAAGTCCCATAAAACAAAGAACCGCAATGCCGTTTCCAGATGGCAGTTTCTGTTTATCAATGTGCGTATCACATAGTTAAACAGCAGAAGTTTGGGCACTTGAGAAAACTCTCATCCAAGACTTGCTTCCTGTTGGTTAGATGTGATCTTCATTTCTTTGGTTTCTACTGACCAGTTTCCAGTCTTTCGGGCTTTCATTTTCCCCTGGGTGATGTCACAATACCGATATAGAGGTGCCTCTTAGAGACGTAGAATGAAGAGCAGTGTGAAGGAAGTGATCGAAAATAACCAGATAACTAGTACTCATTGATTTGGGATGCATTTGGTTAAAATGAAAGTGCTAGAGGCATCACTTTAAAAAATCACTATAATTGTATGGGCCACTAAGTACATGGTCCTCCATCTCACTGATTATCTAAAACCCTTTAAAGGGAATCATCTCCTGGCAGGTAGGATCTGGTGGGGTTTAGGGTCTCTGTTAACCTCCTTACCTTTACTCCAGCTTCGAGCTGACCAGGTATGTTTGTTTGCCTGTCCATTTACGAAGCGTTTACCTTAAGCTCTCTGAACCCAAATCTTCATGTATACCTTTTCAGTGTTTTAGCCATGAGTTCATTTAGATAGCCAGTCAGTGTGATTGATATCCTGCGAGCCTGACTACAAACTGTAGCTGTTTCCCAGGTATCCTTTCTCCCCTCCATTCATTCTTGGCTGCTGTCCATGCTGTTTCCTTTGGGCTGAGATCTTTATGGCCACATAACCAAAGTTCTTCTCTCTGTAGGGCATTTTCCCTGAAACGTATATCCATTTGAAAGAGGCAACTGTGGAAGACCGAGGGTAAGTTCCAATCGGGGAAGACCCCTAAAAAAATGATGAAGATGTAAAATTATCATTAAAGAATGCCTTGTGTACATTATTTCTCTTGACTCACGAGTTCCACCTCTCATACGAGAGAGAAAGAAATAAAAATGTTTTCCTGACACAGCTCCTTCTTCGGTCTTCTCTTTTTACACTTGTTCGACTCTGGCATCCTTTCCCAGGATGATAAACACAGATAATGAAAGAACAGGGGGCGTTACCTTCCTCACGCACATCCTGTTCACCAATGACACGCGAGCATGTGTGCACACGTGTGTGCATATGTGAATGTCTGGTGCGCTTTTGCTGATGAGACCTGAAAGCTTCATCAGTTTGAGAACTTTGGAAGCTAGACAAGCACATTCCCTCCTGCACTAATCTGCTCTGAACCTTGGACAAGTCATTTGGCCTTGGGGCACCTCAGGCTTGGAAAACAAACCTGGTCCTCTTGTTTGCCATGAGCTTGATGTGAAATATGAACTAATGTGTGTGAACGTGCACTGCAGATGAACTTCATTACGTTTTGGATATTCCCTTTTTCCCTTGCTCCCTTTACCATTTGTGCTGGAAAGTGCTGCGACTGTGGCAGCTAAGCCTGAAGTGGAAGAGAGAGGCTACTTAGATGGCCAGCCAACGGGCACCGAGAGTGGAGGGAATAAGGAAAGCCTGGAGCTGCACTGGAGTCCCAGGACTGACAGAGAGGAGAGTGGGTTATAGAGTCATGCAGACTCAGTGCTGCAAATAACATTCTCAGTCATAAGTCCCGCCCCCTTGTTTGAGAGACAAGAGGTGGCAACATCCCNTAATTCCCTATCCTTGTAAAAAAAAAGTTAATTTAAAAAACTGAACAAAAAGACTACTCTCAGATAAAATCATATGAACTTAAATAACAAACAGAATTGTCGATTTTTAACCGGTGAATGTGAATCATGTTGAAACAAGGTCCCAGCCCCCAGCTTTCACTTTCACAGAATGTGTAGTATGTAACCATCCTTTTTGAGCCTAAATGACCTTGGTTGCTAAGGCATTCTGTGCTTTCCTAATGTATGAAAATGCATCTAGCTAGTGCCTTTTTTACCTGTTTTGAGAAGTGGATTGTTGGGGTGCCACACTAGAATCTAGAGGACAAGTTCTGGAAGTGTTTTTAAGTTTTTTGGAGTCATTTTTTTTAAAACTCTTATTTAAATGTAAGTATCACCCTTGAGAAGATTTATTTCAGTAAGAGCTTCTCTTAGTTCTTGATAATTAAACTTTGTAACTCAACGAAATGCTAGTACAAACAAGGGCCATGCATTTACGTGTTGATGTTTTAAGTTGAAATATCTTTCTTGTGGAGAGATCCAGGAAAAAACAGAGGGAGTTGAAAGTCAATTGTCATGAATTATGCTCAACTTTTGACACCCCTTTATTAAGAGATCCAGCCTTTTTGAAATGCTCTCCTAATGTTCTTTCCTTCGTTGGCAAGTTGAAAGGCTTATTATTTTAATGGAAAATTTTCGTGTCATTTATAAGCAGACATAGCCATTTAGAGTGGTGATAAAATGAGCTAGTGGTTTTACAAATTGAAGAAGCCAAGAGCTTTGCAGAAACTGTTATTGATCCTGGCAGGATTGTGGAAGTGTGCGTAGGGCATTATCTAGAGAATCATTAGTTTATTTTTTTTTTACTCAAGTGAGTAGGTTACATTGAGAAAGGAAAAGCAAAATAGAGAAACAGGCTGTAAATCAGAAATCTATTACCCAGGTTTATTCTGGCTTTCTGTGTGTCGTAATGGCATAGGAGAACTTCCACAAGCCTCAGGTTTATCAGAGCAATTAGATGGCTATAAGTGGATAGATGTTATCCTGGAAAGATGATGCCTACCAAGAGGAGTGGTAATACAACAAAATAAATATTCTCTTAATATGAAAATCATCATATCTGTACACCCACTATAATGTATCTGCTTATACTCTGCTTAGATGTCACAAAATAAATCACTTTGTATT